TTGGCGGCCTCCTGGGGACCTCTCGGGGCCGTTTTGAGGCGTCTGGGGCGGTTTTGGGCGCCTCTTGGGCTGCCGCGCATTGCGCCCAAGCTGTCTACCAGTGCGTTGTAAAATTGTAAATTTTCCATATGATTTTTTCGCCTTCGGGGGCTCTCTTGGGAAGTCTCTTGGGCCTCTCTGGGTGCGTTTGGGGGGCCTCTGGGGCTGCCTTGGCGCCATCTTGGCCGTGTTGCACCCCTGGTGAGCTATTTTCTCGAACTGCAGCGTGCTTGGACAGAGTCTGAGAGCGGTCTCGGGGCCCCTGTCCTCCCATGCGGTGCGGGGGTCCTTGGGCCTGGCCAGGGAGCCTCGGTCCCCCGGGATATATATATATATATATATATATATATATACGGTAGACCCCCACCAGCACCCCACCGATTCGTGTGTCTGAAAATCTTGTTTTGTAAACGTTGGTGCGTGTTGCTTCAGAAGCTAAAGAAAGCATTTGTTTTTCATTGATTCCAACAGTGGAACTATTGAAAACCAATGGTTTTTCAATGTTTTCGATGGAAAACTATTGAAAACAATTGGTTGTGTTTTTTTTTTGTTTGGTTGCTCCTTTTTTCAATGTTTCTTCCTTTGGTTTTGGCGGATTTCCTTGTATTTGTTGATTTTCGGCGCCCTCGCTCCCCCAGCGCCGTCTCCACCTCACGCCCAGAGGGCGCGCGGGGGAGCAGAAACCAACAAAAACAGGAAAAGCAGTCAAAACCAAGGGAAAAACAGGAACATCAGAGCACCCAGGCACAAAATCAACGAAATCCAAGCCCCGACTTTTTCTCGGCAGAAAACAAAAAGAAAACCTAATGGTTTTCCATGGTTCCCATCCGAAAACCACTCGGGACCCTCATGTCGTTGATTTTTTTGCTTGGGTTCTCTGATGTTCCTGCTTCTCTTTTGGTTTTGACTGATTTGGTTGTTTTTGTTGGTTTTCGGCGCCCTCGCTCCCCCAGCGCCGCCTCCACCTCACCCCCAAAGGGGGCGCGGGGGAGCAGAAACCAACAACAGCAGGGAAAACAGTCAAAATCAAAGGAAACACCGGAAAATCTGAGCACCCAGGCAAAACAAATCAACGAAGTCAGGGTCCCGAGTTGTTTTCGGATGGGAAGCATTCCAAACACAAAAGAAACATTAGGTGTCCTTTGGTTTTCTGCAAAAAAACAAGTCGGGGCTTGGATTTCGTTGATTTGTTTTGCCTGGGTGCTCTGATGTTCCTGTTGTTCTTTTGGTTTTGACTGATGTTCCTGTGTTTGTTGGTTTTCGGCGCCCTCGCTCCCCCAGCGCCGTCACAAAAGGAATCCCTCTGGAATCACCCACAAAAGGACTCCATTTGGAATCCGCCACATAAGGCATCCTAGTGTAATCCTCTGCAAAAGGAATCACTTTGTATTCCTCTACAAAAAGGAATCCAAGTGCAATCCGCCACCAAAGGAATACATTAAAAAAACTGTGCTACAAGAGGGACCCCATTGATACGGAGCCAAATGGAAGCCAATAGGGAGATGAGAAGGAGCCAAGAGTGAGCCAAAGGGAACCAGGAGGAGTTTGCTGAAGGTTTTGAAAAAGGGGGGATTGCCAGCGCTTACCGCTGCCCACGAGGGCTTCTTGAGGCTGTGAAAAGGGGGAAACGATGCGCATGTGTTGTTATTTTTTGCGGGGGGCGGAGCAGATCACCCTATAGTTTGGGAACAGTGGGGCGGGATTGTACAACGAGGTTGTCCACGGTCTCTTGTGCTATTCGAATTGAAGCCAGAGAATACGAAGAGGCGTGCACCAGGACCAGGCCCCATCAGGAAACGCGATTGGTGCCCGCTGGCAACAAAGTGGCTCCAGGGCCGCTTCGTCATTCTGCACACCGGCGGCGCCAGATCATACAAACTGAAAGTGCGAGGTGTGATGCACGATTGGGTAGTGCACATGAAGAAGAGAGTGAAGATCAACGGTAAGTTCGTATGGATCAAACCACTGTTTTCGAAGGTGCGATACCACGACGTCCCTACTGCTTCTTCCGATGGGACGGCCAAGCAAACAAGGGTTTGGGTGAAGAGCGGTACTCAGATCATAGACCATTGTTGGCGTGAGGTGCGCAAGCACGTGGGGATTCAGAAAGTGGTTGGTAGCAAAATCCTACGAGACAAGATCCGCTCCGCACAGTGGTGTTACTGGAACCGCGGCTGTGATTTGTGGGCCGCCACTGGCGACGTGTTTTCTCATGAGTTCGAGAAGACGCATCTTGGGTAGGACCTGTGAGCTTGGATCGGCGTTCTCTGTGCTGCCTCTCCGCGCGCGCCACGTGCGTGTCCATGGATGTTTCGTTTGCAGGAACTCGCGCAACGAAAAAGATGGGTGCAGCAGGTCGTCAGCTTCTCTGTCGCCCGCAATTATATGGGTCTGCGTCGCTTTTGTATGTTATCCTATGCCATCTACGTCAATATTAGTGCTACGAATGCATTGTGTATGGCATTATGTGGATGCATCTGCAGCCCGTGAGCAATCGCATTCCGTAGGTGCAATGACGCGATACAAGTAGCGATTCACATGCAGGATCCAACCGGACAGGTGAAATACAAGTAAGCCCCGCCATCGCGTCGAAGGTGGGGTGCCGGGGGGGGGTGCTAGCATATACATATATATATATATATATACATTCATACATATATACATACATATATACATATGGCATTGTCTGTCGACTGTCCCCCGTTCCCATGAGGGGCAACGATAGGGGGGACTGGCATAGGGGGGATGCATCGACCTGGAATGGGCGATACATCACCGATAGATCGGCGATAGGCCTCCGATAGTGAGTCCGCACCTTCATGGGACGCCTGGGGCTATCGGGCCCCTATCGGCGATCAATGGGCGATTGGGGGTCGATGCATCCCCCCCTATGCCTATCCCCCTCTATCGGGGATGGACAGACCTCCCTTTAGTAAAACGCGGTTTAGTGAAAACGACCTCGGGCCCAAGCCTGGCGGGCGCAAGTCTGGAAAATAACGGCCGCGGCGCCCTCTCGAGAACCGAAAACGGACAATTCGCTAATCGACGTGTCACTGTTAGGGGTTCTGTCCACCCCCCCCTGTCGTTGCCCCCGATCCCACTCCTCCAAAGCCGAAAAGCTCATTCCCCAGGGGGGAAGTCTGGGCCCGCCGGCGCACCCCCCAGAGACTCCGGAGCTTCCAAAATCTTCCCTCCGCGACTGAAGGCCTTCGTCCTCCACCTCCTCCTCCTCCTCCTCCTCCTCCTCCTCTTCCTCCTCATCCTCCCCTTCCTCGTCGTCCTCTTCCTCCTCCTCCTCCGAGACGGTCGCGAATCGCGGAACGGTTGGCCCGAGACGCGAACGATGGCACGCCCCAGGACGCCTCCGAGACGCCCCGAGAGCCTTCCCTCGAGCTCCCGACGTTCCAAGACGACCCAAGAGGCCCCGCAGACCGCCCCAAAACCGCCCCAAAAAAACCCTACGAGGGCCCCAGGACAACCCAAGAGGGGCCAAACATTGCCCTGAGAGGGCCCACCGAGAGGCAAAGTTGGATATCGCGAGCCCAGCATCCGTCCTTCTCGTCTTCCTTCCTTCTTTCTCCTTATCCTCCTCCTCGTCCTCGTCGTCTGCCTCCTCCTCCTTCTCCTCCCTCCTACTACTCCTCCTCCTGATCCTCCTCCTCCTCCCCAATTCTCCTCCTCCTTCCTCCTCCCCCCGCCTCCTCCTCCTCCTCCTCCTCCTCCTCCTCGTCATCATCATCCTTCTCGTCGTCGTCCTCCTCCTCCTCCTCCAACTCCTCTTCCTCCTCCTCCTCCTCCGCCCCTCCTCCTCCTTCTCATCCTCCTCCTCCTGCTCCTCCTCGTCGTCCTCCTCCTCCTCCTCCTCTTCCTTCCCCTCCTCCCTCCTCCTGCAAGGCGGCTAATAAGGAGGAAACTTGGGACGGGAGGATGCACTACAGCATCGCTGACATATCTTGGACTTCCTCTGGCCCTCCCTACGCTTCGTCTCCTCCTCCTCATTCGTCTCCTCCTCATCCTCCTCCTCCTCCTCCTCCTCCTCCTCCTTCTCCTCCTCCTCATCCCCTCCTATTCCCTCCCCTGACCTTCTCCTCCACTGTTACTTTATATGAACACGACTCTCCTCTCTCCCCTGACTCTGTCCAGAGAGTGCCCCGTTCTCTCCGCGTATTGCTTTTTACATACGGGATTTAATGATTAGTTTTTTACTGCGTGTTTTCCCCAGTCTGGTCGATTATGGTTCTTCCAACATGGTGCTCCCGCTGCAGCGCCGCCCTCATTTCCGTGCTTCGGTCATTCAACATCGTGCTCCCGCTGCAGCGCTGGCCTCGTTCTCGCGCCTCCAGACGGCACTTGGCATTCGAAAACGCCCACATCGGGCAAGTCTGGTTGCGGAGGACATGGAGCCAGCATTCTGGACAGGCCCTGTCCTCTCGTAGACGGGCCACTTACCCTCCAAGTCATCAGGTGCGATGCCACGGCATGCAATGCAATTTTGTGTTGTGCACTGCTGTGCGATGCCATGCTTTGCGTTACTATGCTTTGTGACGCAATGCTTCACTACGCAATGCCACGCCATGCTATGACATGCTATGATCTGCCGTGCTCTTCTACGCCATGCTTTTCCATCCATCGCGTACCCTCTTGGGATCATTGCCCTGCTCGAGATTCGACTGTGCGAACAGATAGGAGATCTACGCCATGGTAAAGGGATGGAGGGAGGGGCAGGACGTCAGCTGTGACGCCAGCGCACCCAGCTTGTCCTCCCACTCCCTCCTCTCCCCCCGCCCCCCTTCGCGCCCGCCCCCGCGCGGGAGCGCCCGAGCGAGCGCGCACGCCCGCGCGCGGCGGGCCGATGACGGCGCGGGCAGCCCTTTTGCGCCGCTGCCGCTCGCCACGGCGCCGCAGGACGGCGCGGTGAGGGGCACCGACGCCGCGGCGTTGGCCGCCGCCGGCGCGCCCGCTCAGCCCGCGGGCGGGGAGGCGGTGCTCGCCTTGAAAGACTCCGAGAGGCCGGTGGCGGCCTGCTGCATGCTGGCCTGGCAGTAGCCTGCCCCTCTCCGGCCGTCTCTCGCTTTCCTTCTCCTCCTCCTCCTCCTCCTCCTCCTCCTCCTCCTCCTCCTCCTCCTCCTCAAGCTCGTGAGCAGAATGGGAACGGGAGGGGGAAGAAAGCGGGGGCAGCGGGGGGAGGGTCCGCGCAGTTACAGGCGGCAGGCAGGGTGTGGTAGCTCTGCGTTCATGTGTACCACCTACCACCCCTGTTCGTCCCGCCGACTTCGTAGAATCACGCGTGCGCGTGCTAAGGTTCTAGCCGAAGGAATGCTTCTCATCATCATCCTACGTTCCTGACTCTGGTCCTAATCCTCCTCCTCCTCCTCCTCATCATCATCATCGTCATCATCATCAGCATTATCAGCATCAGCATCATCATCATCATCATCATCAGCAGCATCATCATCATCGTCATCATCAGCAGCATCATCATGAGCAGCAGCATTATCAGCATCATCTCAATCATCATCAGCATCATCATCGTCATCGTCATCAGCATCATCATTATCATCAGCATCGTCATCAGCATCATCCTCATCATCATCATCATATCACAATTATAAGAAGCATGATCAACATGTTCATAATAATCATCATCACCAGCATCATCACCATCACCATCACCATCACCGTCACAATCACACCATCGTCATCATCATCTTCAGCCTCATCCTCAGCATCAGCAACAGCGTCGTCATCATCGTCAGCAGCATCATCATCATCATCATCGTCAGCATCATCCTCATCATCATTATCACTATCATCAGCATCAGCATCAGCATCATCATCACTATCAGCAACATCATCATGACAATCATTATTATCAGCATCGATATCATTACCAGCATCATCATCGTCATCATCATGAACAGCAGCATCATCAGCGTCGTCATCATCGTCAGTATCATCATCGTCAGCAGCATCATCATCATCATGATCATCACCATCACCAGCATCATCGTCGTCATCAGCATCATCATAATAATCATAATCACTATCATCATCAAAACCATCATCTTAATCACCGTCATCATCAGCATCACCATCACCGTCACCATCACACCATCGTCAGCATCCATCGTCATCCTCATCCCGAGCATCAGCATCAGCGTCGTCATCATCGTCCGACGGCGAGGCGGGCCCCCCCCCCTCGTCTTATCGAGGCATTGCATGGTGCGGCAAAAGCTTGGGGAGGTGCCGCGAGGGAAGAGACGAGCCAGGACCGCGCCAAAGGGGGAGGGGCCAGGCCCCCCCACCCCCCGGCGCGTCCTGCGAAGCAGGTACTGTCCTGCACGACGCTAGGGTCGTTCTTTCGTTGCGCCGCTCGCAGGCGCGGCGCGGTCGCGCCTGCAACCCCTGTGCGGGAGCGGTTCCTGCATTTTTTTCCCAGAAGTGCGAGTGGGTGGGGCAATGAAATCGCGCTCTTGCCGCGCACGTATGCCAATGCGCTCGATCCGCGGGAGGGGGCCGGAGTCGCCGCGCTCTCTCCCAGGAGGCGCTGCGCGCGCGCGGTGCCCCCCGCCCTGCCGTCAGCCCCCTATGCCCTGGCCCGACCCAGCCCAAAGCCGGGGCAGAAGCAACCGACGGCGAGGCGGGCCCCCCCCCGTCTTATCAAGGCATTGCAAGGTGCGACACAAGCTTGGGGAGGTGCCGAGAGGGAAGAGACGAACCAGGACCGCGCCACTTTCCCCCGGCCCGCGGGCTCTGGGCGGGCGGGGAGGCGGTCGGGGGAAACCAACCGGGCGCGTTGGCCCGCCTCCGGCTTTCTTCCCCCGCATCGGCCGCGTGTCCGGTCCAGCGCGGCTGAAGGCCCCCGAGCTCCGCCGATGAGATTTCATGACCTCGCCGCCCACCTGGAATGAAACCGACTCATGAGCAGAGACTTGGTGGGGGAACGCCACCGCTTGGCCCCCACTTTGCGCTCGCCCTATTTGTTGCTTGCCACCGACGGGCTGCGTCTCCTGGTCGTGCCCATCCCCCCTGCCCCCCGCACCTTCCGATTCTTGAGGACGCGCATGAAGCCACTGCTCGGCCCTGTGCGGGCCACTGGGGGGCGGGGGGAGGACCGGAGGAAGCCGCGGGCGCATTGGCCTCGACGTCGGGGCTTATTTCGATGCGCGATGCGCCTCCCTCCCCTTTCGTTCGGAAGAGATTGCCCACATGGGGGGCTTCCGCCGGATCACCCGCGAGGGCCCACGGTGCCCGAGGCCGAGGGCGGCGGGGGGGGCGACCGCGCCCGCCGCCACCAAGCTGCGCCAACCCGGACCTTGCCTCCACCTCGCCACCTGAGGCTGGTCTGGGCTGGCGCGGCTCGGCCCGCGGTCAGAGGGGAGGGGGGCGCCGCGTATCTATGGGCGAGCGCTTCATTATGGCATTTCGGCCGAGGGGCTGCGTCTCCGGGGCCGGCCCCCGCCTCCAAGCCGATTGGTTTCAAGTCCGGGCACCGCGGACCGAGCCCAGGGGGCCAGGGGCCGGGAACGGGCCAGGAGGCCGGGGCCGACGCCGAGGGAAGCCGCGGGGCGCATTGGCCCTCCAACGGTCGATTTTTTCCTTAATTGCTGGCAAATTCCCCTTTTACCCCAGCGCGCCCCAACCCCTCGTCTCCCAAGGGAAATTCCCCCACCTCGTCCAGGAAGCCCGGGACCACATGCGCGGAATTAAGCAGGGGTGGAATGAGCTGAGGCGGCGCTCTCGAGGGGGGCGGCTCTGCGCCGGCCCTCCTTAAGGGGGGGATCTTCTACTTTGACTGCGTCCGATGCTTCGCGCGCGGGTGTGTTTTTGGACTCCCGCCACTCGGCCGCGCGCAGCCTCCGCAGCGCGGCGGGGGGCCGGGGGCGCCGCAGGCCGGCCACTCACGGCGGCTCGGCGCGCCGGCGGGGGCAGGCGCCGGCGCCCGCAGCTTCTAGTCCCAGCTTGCGCAGCGGGGCGGCCTGGCGCCGCTCCTCGGCGCCAGCGATGCCCACCACGTAGAACCCGGCGACGTCGTTCTCCGCGAAGCACGCGGTGTCTGGCGCGGGCGCGCACGGCCACCACCGCGCGGCGGCTGCGCAGGTGCTGCCGGCGCCCTTGATGACGGCTGTGGCAGTGCATCTCACGGCCCCGGTCGGCGCGCGGGGCCACGCCGCCTTGCGCGGGGCGACGGTCGCGGCGCCCTGGCCGCTGGCATGCGGCCGCGCGGCGAGGCAGAGCAGCCGCAGCAAGTCCGCGTGGAAGTGCGCGGCCGCGGCCACAGCGCCGGCCCGCCTGGCGCGGATCCAGCTCAGGGTGATCTGCTTGTCGTCCGCGTCGAAGGAGATGGCGGCGAGCAGCGCGGCAAGGGTGCCCGCGTCTACTGCCATCAGGCGGAGCGCGGTGCGCGCGCGGTGGCTGCGGTCGTTGTGCGCCCAGTCCTCCTGAGCGGCGGAGACTGCCGTTGCCCGGGCGCCGGCGTCCATGTGGAAAGTCGCTGGGAACCGGGGCTCGGCCGCCCGGAGGCGGTAGCGCTGCGCGAGAGCCGCGGCCTCGGCCCGCTTGGCGGGCTTGTCGGGCCTGGAGAAAGAGTCCGCGGGATTGCTCTCCGACGCGACCCACTCGATCCAAAGTTCAGCGCCGAGGACGCCGAGCAGGAGCCAGATGGCGCCGACGATGGCCACGCTGTCGTCGTCGCCTGCTGCGCCGCGGCGGACGTTCTCCAGGGCGGGAGTGTTGTCTTCGAACAGGACCAGCCGGGCGCCGCGCACTGCCTCGGGGCACGTCAGCAGCAGGACGAGCACGGCGAGCAGCTCGGACTGGGTGTTCCGCTGCTTCTTGCCGACCTTGAGCAGCTCAGAGGTGCGGCGGGATGTGCGCGGAGAAACTGTGGCCGCCGCGCGTTGGGGACAGCAGCACGCCCCCGATGGCGCCTGTTCTGGCTTCCATGTCCCAGGACCCGTCGACCCACCCGATGACGACGGGGCGGTCCGTGCCGGGGTCGCGCTTGCGGCACAGCGGGCACCGCAGAAGTGCTTTCCACCAGGACAGCGCGTGAGCGAGGCGGCGAGACCAGCCTCCGGCGTGCGCGGATACGGGAGAGGCGTAAGCGCGGCCAACGCGGCCGAACATCGCCGAGGTGGCGAAGCCCAGCTGGCCGCCCAGCCTGGCAGCGCCGCGCTTGCCGAGGCGTTGTGCTCGCAGGGCGGCGTCCACGTCGTCGGACAGCGCGGCGCGGCGCTTGGCGGTGAGGCGCAAGCCCGCCCAGCGCGGCGTGGAGAGGACGTCCAGGCCTAGCAGGTCCAGCACGGCTGCTGGGCCGTTCTTTCCCTCCTTCAGCGGGATCCCGAGCATGGCGTGCAGCTCCTGGAAGACCCATTCGTGGAGGGCGGCCCATCTGGCGGGTGAGGCGCGCTGGAAGTCGTCCACGTACGCTTTCTGCGGCACGCTGAAGATGCGTCGGAAAGGGTGGTTCGCGCTGGCGGCGACTCGCGCGCACCCCCACACGGCCCCGAAGGCGCCGAACGGCAGGGCTTTGTGCGCGTAGGCCCGGTAGCCTCCTGCATGGCCGACGCTGTCGTCCCAGACGATGCGTGCCAGCAGGGGCACGTCGTCGGGGCGCACTGGCCATTGGCGGCATGCTTGGGCGTGGTCCCCCTTGGCGATGAGCGGCGCGCCGTCGGCGCCCCAGTCGCGGAACGCGTCGGCGATGAAGGGTGCGGCGTCGAGGAGCGAGGCCAGGCCGGCCATGCGCATGCGCTCATGGGTCGCGACAGCCAGGTTGAGGCCGCTCGCTGTCGCATCGTCGATGGGGCGAACCTTGTAGGAGGTGGCGATGCGGCCCTGGACGCGGGGGAAGCGGCGCGTCGGTAGCCACCGGGCGAAGGGGACAATGGAGATTACTCGCCCATCGGCGTCGAGCCACACGTCCCACGGTCCGTCAAGCTTGCCCGCTGCGCATTCCTCCTGGGTGACTCGGAGCACTTCAGCCATGTCCGGCTTGCGCTTGGAGTCCTGGAGCATTTCCAGCAGCATGGCGCCCTTGTAATC